AGTATATTTGGGTAATCCCTCAAGGTTTCGAGGATAATCGTAACAATACTTTTATTTATTTTTTAACCGATTTAAAAAAATTATGATTAGTTTACCAATTCGACTATAACTTTGGACCACGTTAACCAATTTCTATATTTATTTTGTTAAAGGAAAGGTGGTACCTCAGAGCTGGTTTAGATCCGATAATTGGAACATGATGAAATTAACGGTACTCTTAAATTTTTATATGAGAGTTGAAGTCGGCTTTGTTTTTTGCTTAAAAGATATTTGTTTATTTTTATTTTTTTTTTAATTTACACTTTTTGTAGCGGTGATAGACATACACACACATTTTTTTCAAATAAGTTTTGCTGCATTTAAATTATAATTATAATCATCTATGTAAACATACATACATGTATATTCTCAATTATAAAAAAATGCAGTAAAAAATAGTAACATGGTTAGATATGTATGTATATCTTAAAAATTAACGGTATTTTTAGCAACTTCACACTTGCACTTCACTAAAATTTAATAGGCCATAGAACTGCATACGAAAATTTGTCTAAAAAAATTCTGATTAAAAACTTTGAAATTTTGATTGCACTTCGTCGAATTTTCCAAAATTTTTTTTTACAAAATTTGAAATTTGAACTTACATGGTTTCTGTTAGATAACATATTTTTATCCTAGCGGCAACATGTTCGAGGAATTTGCAAATGCAAATTTCTGCTAGTACTCTTCATAAGTAGGCACAGTACAAAGATATTTTGAGCAATATACCAAGTCTAGGAACTTGCGAGTTCTCTGACTATGCTAAAGGAAATCTGCTTTGGAAGGAATTTCCAGCTCAAAAATTCCAGACCTAGAGGTCTGTACAAATGCTTTACCTGAATTAGAGGCCATATATGTATGACGGATCAAAGATGCAGTTCAGAGCAGGTGCGGATATTTATGAACCTGCCGGCAAACTTTCTATTGCAATGGGTATTTGGCAGTCTCAATTTGTGCCAGATTGAACCTTGAAAAGGGTTTGAAAGGTGCCTTTCTAGCAATCTTTTCAGAAAACCAGGCGAAAATCAGGTCCTATCCAATGGAACGATCACCTCCAGGCACGTCAAGGAGTGCTTTGACACCCCCGAATTGGCTAGAGAATGCTCATCGTCTGTACTTGTGGGACCGGAGCAGTTTTGTGGATTCAGGTCGTTCTACACGAGACTCATAATCGTAGCATGGGTAAACTTAGAACGCAGTAAGTACTGCGGAGAGGCGGAAGCCTTAGACAGATTAAACTTTTTGGTTATCTTTTTGCTGGGAAAGATAGAAATCTTTTGAATATAGCCAACATGAAGTTTCTAATTGGCTAATTAACCGGTCATAATCACCTGCGCTGTCACATGCACCAGAGACGGATTGCAATGTCTATTTGCCTTGAAGAGGAGGAGACGCCGGAGCATATTATACTAAGACTGCAATACCTGAATTCTTTCAGAGTCCATGAACTTAGTGTCAGGAATTCATCTGCCAAGAAACGGTTAGCTTTTATTAGGGTGGCTGGTAGTATGTTGGGTCATGGGGGTTGTGACCTATCATAGGGATAAACAAGACTTTCTATGTCCCTTGTTTCCGTTGCACCTATTAAATTTACATTTACATACATATGTATGTTAGGGTGCAGCACTCACCATACAAAATGCAAACGGTAGAGCTTTTACATCGGAATTACAAAATTTATTAAATTCAAAGACTACCGCCAAAATATTTCGGAAAAATAATAAGATTTATATGAGCTGGACCAATGGGAAAATACGCCGAAAATCTATTTTTTTTTATAAATAAAATCATGTGGAAAAAATAGTTTTTTTTCAAAAAATTACTTGAGACGCTTACAAGGGCTGCATAAAAATTCTTAAAATCGTTATCTAGAGAATCAAGATAATGAGATTTTTGGAGGTATTTTTAAATCGGTCCAGTTCACGTAAATGTAATAAATTGGGAAAAGTGCTACTTTTTTTTTGGTGAGGCACCCTAATGTATATGTATCTTCATTTAAATCTTAATCGAAAATTTTAAAATTCAATTTAAAATAATATATGTATATGTACATTTGTAAGATTTTACTTAAATGGAATTATAAATTTTGAATTTTCTTACTACATAAAATACATACATACATTCTGCTATATTAACAAGGAACAAATAATCGAATCATCTAAGTCTCAAATAAATATTTCCGCAATCTTCTATTTTCTAAAACTTCATTTTAGATTTGTTTCTGGATATTTTAACAGTTGCGCATGAGAATTTTTTCAATCCCTGGTATTACAGCAAACGAAAATCATATTCCATGTTAGCATGCCCACGACGTAAAGCATAGCGGCTAAACCGACGCTAGCCTAGAACACAGTATATGAGCAATTTTCTAGAATTTTTTTCGATAAAAGTCCACATACCTGAAAGGAAAAATGCACGACAACCCAATGAGCTAAAGCGCCCCACACAAACATTAGTAGACCATTAGTGAAATGCACTGGAAAGCGTATGGCAGTCCATTGGGCGCGTGGCATGCTGCGCTGAAATACGACATCCTGCAGAAAAAGCGTTACCGACTGTCCAAAACCCAGCAGCACAGAAGAAACGCTAAGTTGAAGTTTGGATGTAGAGAAGCTGATGACTGAAATATTTGCGTAAATTAAGCAGTGTTTGCATTATTCAACTTTGCGTTCAACAATTGCGTTCAACTCAACGCAGGGTTGCACGAAAAAAAAGTTGAATGGCTAAATGTTGGCTGGCGACCAACTTTGTTGAAAGCGATTAGTTGAAAGGCCATTCAACCAAAAGTTGAATGCAAAGTTGAACAATGCAAACACCTTTTTATGGCGAATATTTTGATATTTTTTCATATTTTGATATTTTTAGCCATTCAACTTTTTTTTCGTGCAACCCTGCGCTGAGTTGAACGCAAATGTTGAACGCAAAGTTGAACAATGCAAACACACTTTTACGTAATCCACCACTCGTGTAATTGATAACAGTATTTGAATTTGTTTGCTCTACTTACGAATCAGCGCCAACGCCTTGCATACGCTGCCCAATGTGTGCCACTCGATTTTTCGCTTATACAGGCTGCTACCGAAGCGTGGCGTCATCAGCGAGAAGCACATCCACGGAAATGCCAGCAATGAGAAGAGAAATGGTATCTCGGCATTTTTGATTGCATGGTGACTGACCGCCAGCCCTGGTAGTACCGTTAGACACATTACATACGAAAAAATATCCGCCGACATGAATAGAGTTGTCGAATAAAGCCTCGGCACTAACAATGCGCGTTGTAGTGGCAACAAAGTCTTCTCCTTCAAACTCTTCCAAATGTGCGTGGTGACATTGCGTGACAAACGTTGGAATTTATGCTGTCATCACATGAATATGTACACATACACATTAGTATCTAAGATCATTTCACCCCACTTAATATTCCACTTACCAAATTTCCAGCTTCTGTAACATCAGCTGCCGCACCAGCGTTTGCCGCTTCATCCAGCTGTTGCAAACCATTCGATGAAGCATTTGGATGTATTTTCTGCGACGCTGCCACGCTCGAGTGACTCTTACCAATCGTTGCTGAGCTGCCGCGCATCATTGACACGGTCTCATCCTCTTCGGGTATAATCTCCATAATCTCTACACCATTCGGATTTACAAAGGTCACATACGCTTCGTCGGCCGCCAGCATGTAATTGCTACGCGCTTCTGCCGCTGCTGCGGCAAAAAGTGCAGCCGTCGCAGGTCCGGGATGTTGTTCTCGTAATGTACTTTTCCATGGGCGTGGCAACTGCACCTCAATGCCATCGATTTGATCTGCAATGCTGGGTGGGAAGGCGCCCAACTGGTGATGTAGTGGCGGAAATGCGCTCTCCGCGGTGATCATCGAAATACGTTTGGTTATGGAACCTTCGCGATGACGCGTAATGATCAAACTAATGGGTATAAGGTT